TTGTAACTTATCTCATCAGTCGTCTTCCTCACCAGGTTGAGTCACCAGAGTAGGGATGTCTATCCTGTGCACACAGAATGCCCCTGCCAGGCACCTTGCATACAGACATCCATGCTTAATGAGTTTGGGGGATAAAATGGTTTTAAAGCATTGCTCATGGCATGTTTAAATAAAATGGCATGTTTGCAGCATATAAACAGTGCCACCACTTTGGATTTTACCGGCAAGGGGGTGCCCATCTTAATTCCTAAATGCTGAATCCTGAGAGACCAATATTAACCATCCACTTTCACAGTGAGCCACCGCAGTATTTTTTGGGTCACAGATGCCTTTCTTACTATCTCAGCTACATCAGGGAAGAGAAATTAGGCAACTATGACATTACTTTATAAACTGATTTATCAAGAGTCCTGCCTTTCCCTGCGTAATGACTAAGTGCCTCAGAAATGCTTTCCCGAACACTTATTTGTAGAGTGACAGAACATTAGCTGCAGATTTAATGTCACCATGGTTGTCATTTGCATGTGCATGGAAGTTAACATAATGTAGAAATGTGAAATTGAACTGGCTGAGTATGAACAGTGGTCCTGCTAAGATCCATTTCTCTATGCTCATTATTTCACCTCTTGGTTTATTGTGTGTACTTTCTCCCATTACTCACAAAATTGTCAAAGAAGTCCCTGAGGATGCACAAGCACAGGGCTTCTGGAAAATACTGTTTCAATACTTTACATATGGGACCAATCAAGCCAATATGTTCTCCATTGTAAAAAAGCCAATGTTCTCTTGCTTTGTTAATTGACCCTCAGCTTTAGAAGGAAAAGGGCAAGTCTGGATGGGAAACAGAATGTGAAAGCAAATCATCAGGGAGTGACTTATAGGTTTTTCTCAGTTTCAATGACGCTTAGAAGAATCGAGAATGCACAAAACTTTTAATGACACTGAATCCACAGTGGGAACTATCTAGGGAAAAAGAAATGACACAAAAAAACTTATTATTCTATTCAGAGAGTGTAGGGGGAGGGAGGCAAAGGTCTTTTCTAATGCAAAGTTAGGGGAAAAAAAAAAAAAACTATGGGTTAAATCGCAGGAGACTTAGTTCTTCAGGTTTTGTTTGTTCATGAGCTTACAAGTGTGGTGCAATTTAATATGCCTGTCATTATTTTTCCTCCGTTCGAAGGACGAGCCAGGGAGTGGTAAACCAGACAGCGGGGCTGGCCAGCCTTACCCACTGCAGTGTAATCTTGCCGACAGGGAGCAGGAATGCTCCAGACATCAATTTGGGGTCTCTGGGTGGCCTCTGTGAGCCACTGTCCCCTTCACTCCTCATCACCTGCATCTAAAGATGTGATTATCACCAACTATACATTCATTCATTCAAAGGAGTGTAATAAAAATAACTGTGCATTTATCCTTCCTATGATGAGTCATTTAGACACAACACTAGAGGGATGAAGGGCATTTTAATGATACGTGCCAGAGGATGAAATCTTAATTCAGGGATGAAAATAAGGATTTATTATTTGGCAGATCTCTGTTGTGCCATCACACTACACAGCTGTGGCATGAAAGTTAAGTGCCACAAGGTCCTGCCAGGTGATACAGCAGAGCTCCTTTCCTACCTCTGAATATACACTTCATAATTATGCCTCATGTAATCTCTTCCTCTCTTCAAAGTTCCTTTCAGAATTGGTCAGCAGGGAAATCAATTTCTAGAATTAGGCCTTTACTTATTAACCACAGGGTGGATTCTCATATGTATGAGATGGTTAATACACTGCTCTGTTTGGATCCTAGTAGATTCCTCCTAATTCTATAATAATCAGATTTAAAAATATTTCCCTCTGAATCTATCTTGATAAAATAATGATGAAAAGTCAGGAACAAATCCTAGGGAATGAGAGTATAGAGGAAAAGCCCTCATTTACCATATAAAGAAAAGATTTCTCAAGTTTAAACCAAAGCAAACAGAAAGCACATGACATATATAGTCCTAATAAGATTTTATTGAGAATCAGTAAGTGAAATCAGTAAGTGAAATACCTATGACCCCAGCCCTTCCCAATAAATGGCAATATAACACTGGGGTGGGTTCCCTGAATATTCCACTCTGTTCTGTATCTACAGGAGAAACAGTTCTACAGCTCAGTACTAGAGAAATGGGGTGCTCTGACCTATTGATGGGAAGCAAAGGTGGAGTTAGAATTTGGTATGAGTAATAAAGGACTGCAGATAAGTTCTAGTAGCCAAAGGAGTAGATGAATAAACGTTCACTCTTCACATTTTGTATTTCAAATCAGCCAGTAGCAGGCGGGATCATCTTGGGTCCATTTTTACCTAAAACTCTTCCTACCATGAAGGCTTTTGATGCCAAATAATTGGAACTGACATCAAAGATGAAAAGGAAATCAATGACTCTAAGGATTAAAGACCAACAACTCAAAGGAGACCAAAACCCAATGGGATGATGGAAATGGCTGTGAGAATGTTAACATTTTTACATGATGAAAAGTTAACTACTGTAATTTCTCATCACCACAGGAACAGAAATGCATGGCAAGATAAATGAACACTGCTCAAGAAGCTTTTAGGATTTTACTACCTCATTTTTGTATGGGGAGGGAAGAGATACTATGAAGTTTTTTGGGAGGCAACTTTTGGAAAGGTTTTTTTTTTT